TTACCAGCATCAAACAGTCATTGAATTAATGGTAAATATAGTTATTTTCCTTGAGTCAACCTGTTAATATGATTCTGTGCTAGTTACACTTGTGAGGTATGTTTAATCCCAGGGCAAAAAATACATCTCCGGGGCGCCTGGGTGGCTCAGTCGTTAAGCGTCTGCCTTCGGCTCAGGTCATGATCCCAGGGTCCTGGGATCGAGCCCCGCATCGGACTCCCCGCTCAGCAGGAAGCCTGCTTCTCCCTCTCCCACACCCCCTGCTTGTGTTCCCTCTCTCTCGCTGTGTCTGTCAAATAAATAAAAATAAAAAAATCTTTAAAAAAAAATACATCTCCTGGTTTGGTGGAATAGGTATAACAGGGACAAAACAAAGGAGGATATTTTTCTTGATTAGAACATCTTGGACTATCAAGAGAATCTCAAGCAGACTCCCCGCTGAGCATGGGGCTGGATCCCAGGACCCTGAGATTGTGACCTGAGTCAAAATCAAGAGTCAGCTGCTTAACTGACTGAGCCAGCCAGGTGCCCTCTTTCTTCCTTAATTGTAAGTTGCCCTTTAATAACTCAATACTACTTTTGTGTGAACTAGATGCAGCGTTCTGTCACTTCTCTTGTAAAAAAAAAAAAAAAAATAGAAAAATGAATTTGTGTAACTTTTGGGCTTAGTTTTACTTGTTATAAGAGGGGAGGCACTTAGATAGACGAGTGCCTGTGATTGACTTACCGACAGAAAGAGTGATGGCCTCAGATCAGCTGCAGCAACACCAAAGCTGCTGTTGTTAATTGACAGTCTCTGGACCTAACCGACTTTTGGTTACTTGTGCCACATAATAGATCAAATTATTTAGATATCTAGAGGTATTAGTTAGTTTTAACTTCTGGACATCATGAGGAAGTTTCACTGCTTGATGTTAGATATTTTATGAGTGTTTTTCTTTCTGATTAAAATGACTGCATTAGGGATGCCTGGGTGGCTCAGTCGTTAAGCGTCTGACTTCAGCTCAGGTCATGATCCCAGGGTCCTGGGATCGAGCCCCACATCGGGCTCTCTGCTCAGCGGGAAGCCTGCTTCTCCCTCTCCCACTCCCCCTGCTTGTGTTCCCTCTCTCGCTGTGTCTCTCTCTGTCAAATAAATAAATAAAATCTTTAAAAAAAGTAAAATACAATTCCTGCATTAGGTCAAACTCAGAGAAGGTAGAATGGTGGTTAGCAGCTGGGGGAGGGAGGAAAGGGGAAGTCTTGTTTAATGGGTACAGAGTTTTAGTTTTATAAGATAAAAAGAGTAAAAAAATTTTTTTTGAAAATGAAAAGGGTTACGAAGATGGATGTTGGTGATGGTTGTACAACATTATGAATATATTTAATACCACTGAACTATACACTTGAAATGGTTAGGATGATACATTTTATATGTCTATTTTACCACAATAAAAAAATGGGGAACACTGACTGCAGAGGTCGGTGTTTGCTCGCAGCCGCTTCATAGACTTTGTAGGCTAAACCATCACACTTGTGTTCAATGGCAGAGTCTTGGCATTTGCCCTTTTATCTGTGTTAGAATAGACCCACAGTTGTTTTCTGAGGAAAATCTTGGCTTAGTCCACAAATATTCCCTCAGTTCTCCTCTCTTTCCCTACACTTTTGAAAAACAAATGTTAGTCCTTTCCCCAGTTCTGCTGAGTACTAATGGAAGTGAATATGCCCAAAATTGCCAATGCGTCTGTCTGCTTTGCAGAGATGATAAAAAATGCTCAGTTGGCAGAGGTAGTGTTAATGGAGGATTTCCTGAAGACCATTCACTCTTTTTGGGTGATCTAAATTTTGTCTTTAAAAGAGAAGTGATGATAAATCTGTCTTTGGAAAATGTGGTTTTGGCTCCTCCGGTGATTACTTTTACTGAACTGCAGTTTCCGGCCATGTGAACAGCTGGAGTCTAGGGACCACAGAGATGCAGCCTGAGGAATCCCACAACTGTTTTTACCGTGGAGGTGCAGGTGAGAATGCTTGCTGCTCATCATGTTCTCTTAACAAGAGCCTGCAGAAATTCATTACCACAAATGACTGTGCATGTCTCTTGAGCAATGAATTTGTTTTATAATGTGAGCATTCTGAATTATGTAATAGAATGTGCTTCCTTCTATCATGTGTTGGTACTTTAAAATTTTGGAGGCTTGCTTATGGCAAGTGCCCAGACTCTACACTGTACGTTTTGGGAATTACTTTTACCCTGAGTTCTTACTTGTCTACTCTTAGTTTCCCTTTGGTTTAGTTACTCCACTTCCTTAACATCTTATTGTACTGTATGTATTTCATAAGACATCTTCAATCTTCTCTGAATAAAAGGGATAAAGGAAAATATGACATAACCATTCATTATTATAAGTCATAAAAGATTAGTTTTTTCATTTTTTGGTTTGTTTTTATTTTATTTGTTTATTTTAGAGGGGGGAGGGGCAGAGAGAGAGTCCTAAGCAGATTCCGTGCAGAGCACAGAGCCCAACCTGTGGTGGGCTTGATCTCAGGACTTTGAGATCATGACCTGAGCTGAAACCAAGACTTGGTCCCTCAACTGACTGCGCTGCCCAGGCACCCCTGTTTGTTTGTTTGTTTTTCCATAAAGTTTTAAGATGAGACAATGAATCCCAAATAATTTAATCTGAAAATTATGTGATTTCCTTTACCTCCACAGCAATTACATATGTATTTTCACTACCTTATAGTGACCATAAATGCTAATTTGTATGATTAGCAGATTGACTGGAAGCAGTGAGTAAACATTCAATAAGCAAAAACTTAAGCTAGGTAAGGCAATGAATGAAAGGAGAAAAAAAATGTGAGCAAGAAGAAAACATGCTGAGTCAAAGTGAAATCAAGAATGATGTTCATTAAGATTGTAACTAGTAGAATGGTTTGGAAGTTGAGCATTGAGAAATGCTAGTTCAAAGAGACTTCTGTATGGGAGACAGGATGAAGGTGGCTACTTGTCAAAAGGGCTAGCTTGAATATCTGATTTTGGGAATAGTCTACCATTAAGGAAGGGTGTAAGAAATTCACATAAAGGCAACAAGCCTGTTGTTTCCTTAGTGCTCAGGTTGGCTGAGCAGAAGGGCTCTGGGATGGACTAAAGACAGGTTGGTTTGGGATTATGGGAGACAGGATCCTGGGGCAGAAACAAAATGTAACCAGGAGAAGCCAGACTTCTCAGGGAATCAGGTGAGAGGAAGATCTGAGCTGGAGAGAGCTGAGATCCAGCAGTAGATCCACAACAACCTAGAGCCAGAAATCCTTGGGTATCTCCAGTGCTTAACCTAAGGCCTGGCACATAGTATGTATTCAAATTTTTTTTTGTCATATAAGTGAAACTGGACCAAATTGAATCCTGTATCTATGTTATTGTGATTGCCCATTTGCCTGTAGTTAATATCCCAACATGGCTCCAATGGCCAGAAGGCCTTCCCTAGTGCATATATGACAGCATCTGGATGAGTCTGCCTTAAGAAATGACTCCCTAGAGAGGAGAGGGAATAGATGAATGGGGTCAAGACTGTGGTCTCAGCCACCTTGGGTCATTTCACATGCTGCATGTACCATCTGGAAATCCCTTCTGATATCCTCTCCCTTCTTCTTACTCAGCTAATTCTTCATCATTTAAATCTTAATGTAAAAGTTACCCTTCAGAGGTTAGGTCCCCTTGCAGAGTTGGGAATATTTATATAAACCCTAAGCACTTAAAAGATTTTGTTGGCTCCCCCCACACACCTAAATATGAATTCAAACACAAAACAAAAGTGTGAAACATTTACTTTTTTTTGAAATGACATACAATGATGTATACATATTCAGAACTTCTTTCTAGACTTTCTTCTCAAATTATCTCCCTCTTTCTCTCTCTCTCTCTCTCTCTCTCACAAATACTGCCCTACATGTGCTCAGACTCTGCCTCTTTCTCTCTCCCCCTCTTTCACTCTTTCTTGAGCCTTTGCTGGTGGTGCCTCAAACAGGTGCTGAGTCAGCTGTCCAGGTAATTCTGCACACTCCCCATTAAGTATTCCCACAGTGTCCAGTACCTCTCCACGTACTTTGCACACTGGTAATCATGTAATTTTTTGCTGCAATCTGCTTAATGTCTATCTTCCCTATGACACTCTTCTTCTGTAGGGCAGGGACTCAGTGTGGGAGGTTTAAAAATTCAAATATTAATTTGCTTGATCACTTGGTAAAATGTTAACTTTTAAGTGATTAGTGAAGAAATCAGGGAATCTTCTGGAACTGTAAATTGGACTTTTATGAGTAGAAGGGGAATAAAATAAGAAGACTTACTAGGTGAGAAGGACAAATGAAATAAGAGGTAGTCTCCTGCAAAATATTGATATAATCAAAGACTTCACAGACTATTGTTGCTATTCTAGTGAAGTAAACTGATTTCCTCTAGATAATTCCTAGACAAATATATCATAAAACTGTCATTATAATCAGTCTGTTGTTGACAGTTTTATAAGACCCATTCACAAAATCATACTAAGGGCTTTCTTATTCTGATCCAGATGCTAGATCCTGGCTGTCTTCCTCCACCCTCACCTCTTCTGTCATCACTCAGTTATTCAACAAATATTTGTTGAGTGTTCAGCAAATGCTCGTCATCATGCCAGGTGCTGGGCTAACAGTTCCACAGACTTTGCCCTCAAGGAGTTCATAGTGTAAGACCTGGGATACTGTCTTAGAATTAAGTTATTTATAGCAGCATAATTTTATGTTTCCATCTTGAATATAATGAAAATATATGTGAAAGTATTGAGAAATGTACTAACTATACTGATGCAGGACATTACAGGTACATAAAGAAGGTCCATAGGAAGATAAAGTTTAGAAATTTCTTAGATCTGTCACCTCCAGCTGAAGACCTGCTTGTTCACCGACCAGATAGATCCTCAATAATTCAACTGAGACGTGGTAACTTTTCTAGATGGGGCAATATTTCTTGCCAATCAGCATATGCACACTCAGTGACCATGCATGAGGAAACATCCTGTCTGTAGAAAAGGAGATTGCACCTCATCTACACAAAGCATGAGTGATGGTGTTGTCTGTGTGTGTGTGTGTGTGTGTATTTATGCATGTATATGAAGACATGGAGAGGTGATGTGTGTATGCTTTATTAGCTCACTTGATTTTTATCCAGAATGATTAATGAATGTAAAATTGTAGTCTCAACCCTCAGGGGCAGTCGTTAGCTTTACACAGAGGAAAACTTGTCCCATACCCATAGCTTGCACTTCCAGCCCCAAAATAGGACAAGAGAGAGCAGGTAACTCAGTGGAATCATGAGCATGACATGACCAGAAATTCAGTTCAAACATATAATGGTGGAGCAATATTATCATTGTAAATAAAGAGGAGGAGATTACTGTTAGATGCATCACTCTGTGACTTTCCGCTGTCCTGTGGAGAAAAAAGAGGAAGAAACTCTCATAATCACAATAGGAAAAGTAAACACTTTTCAAGCACATATATGTGCATATTTCACTCAGTATTATTTTATATATGTACCTGTACAGAAAGATGCAAATATAATTTAACCTTGAAAAATATGAGTGAATTCTAATTAATAGGCCTTAGTCCAACTCAGTAATTAATGATAACATCAGTGAATGCAAGAGCTCCACAAGTTTGCATCAGAATTCTGAATGGCATCTTGTTTTTACTTCACTGAATTGTTTTGGTATGTCAGACAAGAAAATGCAACTTTTCTTTGTGTTAATTAATTAAATAGTATATTGGGAAAGATGCCAGTTTAGGTTGCATCCATCAGTTTAGCTCCATCTGCTGTGTTTTATCAAGTCGCTATTTAAATCTGATACAGTACTTAGTTTGTAGTTTTAATATTGTCCCATAGCTTCCCTAAGATGATTACTCCATTACTAACCCCTAATCATGCTCTTGTGCTTCTCAGCATCAGGGTGGGTGTGCTGGTCCAGTACCAGAAAGAACCTATTCTTATTTGAGGCCAGATCAGAGACACACATGTGTCTCAGAGTCTTAACCATTCTCACTGGGGCTCTTTGTAGAACATATAGGATTTTGTCTCCACTCGAAACCTGGAGTTCTCTTTTTTCTGGATTTCCTTTCTTCCTCTTGCCCCTTCAGCCCTTTCTCAGAATCCTCGTTCCCAGCTGCTCCCTGGCCCTTGAGTCAGAGTCTGAGGAGACATATCCCTGAGTCCAATGTGGGAGAACAACAGAAAGTACTTGCATTCTTTAAAGTGGGGCATTTGCTGCTATTAATCACCTGTTTTAATAGAACTTTGATGATTTTTAAGTATTAATATTTTATTAAATATTATTAGTAATAATTATCAGAGGTGAGCAAATGTAGCCTGCTCTTTAATTCCTCTTTATTCACCTGGCTTGAATTTCTACTGATTGAATATTAGACTGAAAGTAAAAGAATATTTAATTAAATTACATTTGGCTACTTACAGAAATATGCAATTTAACTGTGATGCAATAATCACACTATTAAATGCTATACATTCTTGTAAATAATACACAAGTTTTCTTCATAACCAATTTAATTATTAATAAATAGGGGGATCACTCCAATTAGGTGCTCAGAGAAAATAATTGTGGAATGATCGCTCCAATTAGGTGCTCAGAGAAAATAATTGTGGAATGAAAGATATCTTTTGTGGATATACAGTGCAGGGGTGTTCAAAGTCAGTGTTACTTCTCTATACTTTTCTCTCCAACGATATCATCGCTGTGGGTAATAGCAGATCTTCAGTATCTTGCTCTTACCTATCTTTTTTTCTCTGTATCCCCAACTGGTTTCAGCATCCTTCTCTGCAAGCAGTTGTCTTTATTTCATCATTCAGATGGAATGAGCCTTTTGAAAACTAGTGAATCAACAGAAGCCCGAAAATTATATATGCACACTGTATGTTTAATAATGGTGTGCAATCTGATTACTGTGGGTACAATTTAAAAATAAATTGTCTGTTTAAACAGAGTTTATGTGATGGCAACCTCTGTTCTCTCAGGATTACTCGAGTGGAAAAATCCCTTTAAGGCTAGAGCAGAACTTGTGGGATCATTTTGAGTAATCAGTAATGTGAATTAGCTTTGAGCTTACCATCAAAATGTGAAAAAAATAAATTTGAATCAAAATTGAGAGTATGACCCTCAGTTGTGGCTCTGGGTTTCTTTATGTGGTTGACATTCTCAGACAAACCTCTTTCAGAACAACAATGAAAATTGTTACGTTATGGAGTTAAAAAATAATTCGTCGACCTTTGTATCCTACTGAAATAAAGTCACTGAGAAGAAAATACTGTTCATTTTAGTTGTAGGTAAGCTCAATAGAGTTTCACTTTCTCTCACCCAGTTTCCAAACCGCTAGACCAATAACTGTTCACTGGAGTCTTTAAGGTCATCGTAAAATGAGATAGCAATTTGGCAATTAATTGATTTAATATTGAGTGCCAAGACACGATTGAGGCTCAAAACCCACAAACCCCAAATCTATTAAATTATCCTGTTTTGAATGTCTATTTTAGGAAGAATAAGCAGATGATTTTAAAGTAGCTATTTCATTCTGCATAACCACAGTCTGAGGAACTGATAAATTACATAGTCTGAGAAAGCTTTCAGAAGGCTCTCAAGATTTGAGCTGATGTATTTCATTAAGGAAAAATCATTACCTGCTTCCTAATTTAGCCAGAAATATGATTTATCTCTAATATAAACTTCCAGAAATGAAAACAATATACGATTGAATTTTAAATTCTCGATAGCAATCAAGATTCAAGTTCCTTCAAGTATGCTAGAATTGATTTGGTCATTTTGTCACTTCCTTTATATGATTGCCCTCTCTGGGTTTATGGTCAATAATTTGTCAGATGCAATTATATTTATGAATTTAATTTTCCCTTGCCCTATTTGACAAACTAGGCATATTCTCATATTTTGTAGGAGTTCCTCTTTTTTTTCCTTAAAATTATTCACCAGTTTTTCATATTGTTTCCCACAATCTTAACATCATGAGTGCAGTCATCTATTTACTAGCTAGAAAAGTTTTGATATGTGCAATATTTAACCTACTGCATCCAATTTAATCCCCACACCAGGCATTACATAATAATAATAATAGTAATAACAACAATAATAATGCCTACTATGTGTTAAGCACTTACTAGGAGCCAAGACTTGAACTAAATGACACATTTTCTTATTTAATCCTCACTGTAATCCTGAGTTTGGTATTATTTTATTCCTATTATGACTCTATTATTGTTATTGTTACTGTTATTATTATTATTATAGCTGCCATTTATTGAACTTAATATGTGCTGAGTACTTTACCTGTATTATATGATTTAATCCTCACATTAACTCTGCATAATGAAGTTACACAGCTGTATGGCCAAACACTGTTGTTAAAACACTGAAATACTTTCATAGTGGGCAGTGAAGAGTTGCTGCCCTCAGTTCCCCAAGTGCCCTCTCAACCCTGTTTCTCTGGTTGCCCAGCTCTTCTGGGGTCACTCAACCTTGTCCTTCTCAAATCTAGAAACTGAAGAGGTAACACTGGGCACAGGCGCCCTTCCGGACTTATGCTCCAGAGTCTATTCTGACTGGTTGCTGCCCAAGCTGTACAAGTTGTTAAGTATTGTGACTGTTAGCAGGGATGTATGTATTATCATTTCCATTTTGCAGGTTGGAAAACTCACGTAAGTCCATAAACGTTAAGCAACTGGCCCAAGATCACCCACCTAGGGAGTGTCAGAATCAGGATTCAAACCCAGGTCTTCCACAAGATAAAAGCCCTGTTCTTAATTACCACAGTGTACTAAAAGATGGAGAAATTCAGCTGACTTTTGATACTGACTTTCCAGTGTGAATAGCTTTGGAACTCTGTACCCTGTGTCTGACGACTGGTATAGTGAATTTTAAATTTCAAAGTATTTTTAGTATTTACCTTGAAGCTGTGAGAATCCTGTTCTCCTGATTCCCAGCCATAATAATGAGCATGGAAGTACCAAGATGATGGATATTACTTTGCATCATTCTGCCAACAAGCCCATATTCACTGATTTAGCCAATGTTGTATTTGCAATAATCTCTCTGTAGGTAGAAATTATTTTATTCATTTTATTACTGGGTCCCCAATATAGCAACGTTGGCATTCAGCCTAACCAAGAATTAAAAGTTACAAATATGTCATTTTTATATACTTTTAAACTATATACTTTACTTTTATATTATTTTAGGGCCCAAAGGCTGAAATCCTTGGCATTATACTTTGCTTCTCTACTTCTGTGTCTTGTCTAGCATGGCTTTCTCCATTTCTAATAAAAAGTTAGCCTCCAATTTAGCATACATAAATGTCCACATTGCTCATACAACCCCATTGCTGGTATTAAAGGAAATTTGAATGCTATTATTACACAGCTATGTATCTTTTAAGGCAGTTACTCAGCACCGGCGCACAAATCAACAAATTTGCCAACTACAAAGTTTGCTTTTATTTAACAAAACGCGATAATCCTTCCAGAATTGGGCATGCCACATCCACACACCAAAACAAAAATCTGACTCGCAGAAAACGGAAATACTCTCGATGTGGTGGGAGAAGTACTATATTTTATCCATAGGTAGCGTTTGGAGAGGGAATAAGCAGGAAAAACTTTTGGCAGGTATGTTTGGCATTAGGGGCAGGGCCAAGAAGTTTTTTTAATGGAGGCCCCAGTCTGGCTTTTTTTCTGAGACAGTAGTCTGTGCCTATCCCTCCTTTCCCATTCACGTTTACAGTGGGGCTTTGAGCTCTATTTGAAACCCCTGGGACCAATGGAGAAGTAGCCTGCAGCAACAACAAGCAACCTCACCCCAAAGCAGTGGCAGGTATGAGATATCCATCTGTTACCTCTCCTGGGCCCTGAGCAACACCCGGGGCCCTAAGGCTGTGGCCACACTGCTCTCTGGCGATGGTTAACTCTGGGACTTTTGGTAGCATTTAGGTTGGGAATGCAGCCTGCCACATGGTTACCTTTTCACAGGTTCAAGGTGGGCTGCAGCCAGGATCTGAGCTCAGAGAGCTGTAGGATCACACCTGAAGCTGGAGTTATTCTTCACCACTCAGGGAGATTGGGAATGGTGGGGAGCAGCCAAGGGAGGAGCTATTGTGATGGTGGAAGACCAGAGCAAGGAGGGCGTGGGAATCCCCTGGGACCCCGATGGAAGACAGAAGGGACCTGAAAGGGGAGGGCCGAATCTCTAGCGAGTACCCTGGAGAGGGCCTGAACTGGTGATGATGCTGTTTTCATTTCTTTCAATTGTTTTTTTTCCCCCCTGGGACCTGAGGAGTGTCTATAAAACAAAAACAAAAACAAAACAAAACAAAAACAAAACAACAACAACAAAAAACACCCAAGTTGTGGGCACATCTATTGTCTTTAGGGCCGCACTCTGAGACTAAATGTTCCATTCACACATAGTCGTGGAAATGCTCCAAGAATGGCAAGCTTCCTCTTATCTTTTGTGAGAGGATTCACCGTGGCCAAGGGCAGCCATCATTTCAATGCATGTTATTGAGGCCCTACTATGTGCTAGGAGCTATATTTGCCACTATATCGTTCAAAGGACATGGGGCAATTGAAGTCTGTTTCACCTGAAGGAAATAGAAGAATTAACTTCTGGATGTCATCCCTGTGCATCCACCATTATGTTTACATTCTGTGGCTGAAGTGTGGCCTAGAGTGCACCATGCTCACTGGTAGGCATGTAGACATTTTGGAATAGAAAAGGTTTCCTTGATATTCATCGATGTGGAGGGGATTACCTGGGGAAGACTTGGAGACCTAACTGTTCCATAGAGTCTGTTCCAAATATCACAGATTAGAAAATGTTTCATCAATATTTTGAAATTGATCAAACTGGGGATGTTCAGTTTTGCAAACCTCCCAAAGGACCAACATATGAAACCAGAAAGGTATTTTATTAATTTACAATGAGAAATAAAACCTTTAGGGATCAGGGAGTCTACTCTTCCATTTTGCTTCCACTCACTGTCTGAACTGAAACCCCAGAAGAATCTAAACTATTAGCTGATACCTTGAGGAGTGTAGGCTTAGAAGAGGAGGTACTTAAGAGAGACTTACATTTAATGGCATTATGTTAAGAGAGCCCAAACATGAATTTCTGCTCTAAGGAAATACCTACTAGGCAGAGCAGGTACTGAGTAGAAGCTGGCTTGGTTCCCTTTCCTTAAGACACAAATTAACTGGGCTCTGCAAATGTTACACTGTGAATCTCATTTTCCTATATTTTGTGGCAGATTATGTCTCTCTACTTTTCTCACCTTCACTATATTAATTAGGTGGCAGGCTATTTTGTTTCTGTAAGGTGCATCTCAGTGTTGATTTTTGGTTTAACGTCCAGAGGGCAATCTTACTTCCTATTCTTCGAGAATATCTTCTTACCCATGTGCTACTTATAGGAGTGATTATGGAACATCTAGCTATTATTTATTTTGACATCAGTTCCAGTTTCACATTGGTTTCAAAAATGGAAGAAATAAAAAGCATGGAGATAGAGTGCATCATTAACAAGCTAGGTTTAAAATTAGGATTTCCTAATGCTGAACCCTTTGATAAATTCACTAGTTTTTGAAAGTTAATTATATGTTATTATTGCTATTCTAATTAGTATGCTTATCTAATTGGGCACTAAGGTGCCAATTAAAAGAAGAAGAGTCTATCGTAAAGTAGGAAAAACAACTGATGTAAATTTCCTAGAAGTAAAATCCGTGGGAGATATGAAATATTCTGTAAAATCACAGTCAGCTGTGCATTCTCTCACTGTGTGTCTCGGTACAAAAGATTGCTACACCATTCAAAATAGATAAGCAAAAATCCCTGTCAGTTTTAAATCAACTCTAGTCAATTTGATTGCTTAAAACTGAGAACCCTGATGAGTACACTAGGTCTAGCCTACAGCCAGGTCCCGCCAGCTACTCTGTGAATGCTTTCTTCAGAGCCTCCTCCTCTTCTTGCTCTTCTGGACTAGGCCAGAACCACGGTTCACCTTGGAAAGTTAGTTTCTCAGGAAAGCAGGCCTTACACTGACTTGTTTCTGGATGTCCACACGACTGGTTGTTAAATCCTCTGGGTTTTCTGATGGAAACAAAAACAAAAACAAAACCGGGGGCGGGGGGGGCGGGCTGGGGGGCGGAATGTCATCATATATTCAAACCCTCAGGGAAGCTTTTTTCTCAAAACAGTACTCCTTGCTCTCATCCTCAAGAAACCCAGTGTACTAATTACTTTTGGCTAACTAAATAGATTTTTTCAGAAGAACTGGGTTTTAAAGAACTTTTAACTTATATCCACACTATTTTTTTTCCTAAATAGGAATGTATAAAGGCAAATAGTTTTGTTATTCAAAGCAAATTCCTGACCCCAAGTTGAGTGATATAATTGAGTGTACTAAGATTCAGGATTGTTCCTGGATTAACATTTCTTTTTGTAGTGTTAAATTCATATTTTAAAGTCATACATTTTTAAAATACTAAAAATAATGATTGGATACTCCTTTTATCATAAGATTTAAGGTATGTAAACTCACTGAATTTTCTGAACAACCTTCTGTTGTGGTTAAAGTATAATCAGTCCAACTTTACAAAGAAGTAAATTAAAATCAGAAATATTTATATCTACTCCTAGGAAGCCAGTGAGAAGTGAGAATTCACCAGATTCTGAAATTCCCTGCTCCTGTTGTATAATTATATTGTTCAGACATGCCTTTTAATAGTTCGAGAAAAATATCTCTTCAACCCAAGAGGAACTACAGTTAGTAAACAAATACATGGGAAATAATGTTCATCCTTGATAGTAATTTTAAAAATGCCAGTGAAAGCAACTTTAAAATAGTATTTTACATCTATTAAAATAGCAAAAAAGTATAGCTTTTTATTATAACAATTGTTAACGTTGAAGTGAAATTATGTACTCATTCTTGATGGCCCTGTAAGTTACCACAGTCCTTTTAGAAAGGAGTATGGCAATAAAGAACGACTGACATAAATAAAATTAAGCCCTTTGTTCCATTGAGGAATTTATTCCAAGAAAATAATTCAAAAGAAATAAAAAGATGAGTACATTCATTATCTCTTTATTCACAACAAGACATTGTTACAAAGTAAATAATCAATATTAGTGGTATAGATTAAAATTTTGGTGGATTGTCTTTAAAAACTAGGGACCACATTTTTTTCATCAACCTTAATTGAAAATAAGCATCTATTTCATGATATAAATGTGTAGCACACAGACTCCAGACAATCCAGCAGCTGACGGTGGTGAGAGATGATTGATTCTGCAATAATGTCAAACTTATAAAATTTAATTATTAAAATTTTAATGAAAGTATAGTTTCAAAAATTGATGGTCCTATTGTGACCTGTATACCTCAGAATGACCAATAGTAATGAGGGAAGTTTTCTCTTTTATAATATGATAGCCAATAAATTAGGAAGAAATAGTAGAATTAGAATATCACTATATAGGCTTTGCTCAGTAATGGCTGCCTGCATTCCAGGGAGACAACTGGACACATACTTTCTGGTGGTACCATACAAATACCTATGGGGTAGTTTTGTCCTCCACCAACAATAAATCAATAAATCAATAAATAAAGATAAAAAAATCTAAAAAATGATCATCTTAGATTTTAATTTATAGAAAATACACAGGCTAGAGGAATGTGTTCAATGAGTTCATGGATATTCATTCAATCAGCAAAATCTAGGCAGTGAGGCCATTTGTGGGACTGTGACTTTTCTTCAACATTAAATGCAAGGAAAAAAAAAAGATCCAGGAGGAAATTTATAGATTAAAGAAAAAAGCCCTCAAGATACATATATATCAGTTAATAACAATATAGGGACCTTGTTTGTATCTGGATTTGAACAAACTTTTTAAAAAAGGCTTTAGGGGCACCTGGGTGGCTCAGTCAATTAAGCGGTTGCCTTCAGCTCAGGTCATGATCTCAGGGTCCTGGGATCCAGCCCCGTGACCAGCCCCGCCTCGGGCTCCCTGCTGGGCAGGGAGTCTGCTTCTCCCTCTCCCTCTGCTCCTCCCCCCCTGCTCACTCTCTCTAGATGAATAAAATAAAATAAATAAAAAATAAAAAAAGGCATTTAAAAAGGAAAATATAAGCACCAGGTATTAATAGTATTAAGGAATTTTTTTCTGATTTGGGAGGGACTGATAATACCGAGGCTATTTTAAAAGGGAAGTCCTTTTTTTTTTTTTTAAAGATGCATATTGAAATATATGTAGAAGAAATGGTATGATATCTTGGATTTGCTTCAAATAATCCAGAGTTTCTTCAAATAGAACTCACATCAATTTAGTTATGTGCCTGAAGCCTGTGGAATGGTGCACATATGCTCCAAACCTTTCCATTTATAAATATATTTATTCCTTTGAAGAACCTTATCTTTTTTCACCAGAGCTTATTGAGAGCTTACTTCTGCTTCATGGCGTCTAGCTTCCCCTACTACTTCAATAACACATGAACTATTTCCCACATTTGTTTCTTAAAAAAAAAAAAAAAAAAAAACCTGAGCAGAAATTCTGGTATTAAAATGTAGTCCTGCCCTGGCATCCTCAACATAAAAGGCAAATCATAGAATCTGAGACCATTTAAACCCATTAATACTTATCAGATGTATATGACGGATTAAGCATGGAGTGTGCTTGAGAGAGATTAAAAATAAATTCTCTGTTTTGAGAAATTGGTCATTCAATTGGGGGAGAACATCATGTGGAAATCACTATAACGATAATGAACATATATTGACCTCTTACTCTGTGCCCAGTACTGAGCTAAGTGCTTTAGATGCATTTAATGTTAATCCTTATAATGACTTCATGAAGTAGGTACTATTATTATTATTATTATTATTCTTTCTTTTTTATTTCTAAAATACAAGTGTGCAATCTCAAGATAACATACTCAGCGTCACCCAGAGAGATTAGCCTAAAAGGGCCTAAACCCCAGGTCTCTGTGAAACAGAAGCCCATGCTATGCACAGTTACACAAAACTAGTAGTAGTCTATTCAGTGAGATTTACTCTGAACCTTCACTGTGCAAAGAATGTATAGTGAACAGTGTCTATGTAGATGCTGCCACATTCATGGTATGATGGTTAATCTTATGTGTCAACTTGACTGGGCCATGGGATGACCAGGTATTTGGCCAGACATTATTCTGGGTGTTTCTGAAGGGTGTTTTTGGATGAGATTAACATTTTTCATCAGTAAAGAAGATTGTTCTCCAGGATGTGAGTGGGCCTTATCCAATCTGTTGAAGGCCTGATTAGAGCAAAGACTGATCCTTCCCCAGATAGGAGGGAATTCTTCAACAGACTACCTTTGGACTTCATCTGCACAATCAGCTCTCCTGGGTCTCTGCCTGTCAGCCCACACTGTAGATTTGGACTCACCAGTCTTCATAATCACATGAGCCAATTTCTTGTAAGTCTCTTTCTCTCTGGAGAATCCTAATACAAATGTATTTCAAAAAACCCCAATAGAAAGAAGCAGTGTTTAAATTACCACCAGATTTGGTAACACTGACCCCAGGATTTTATATGAAAGTAGTCTTGTCTTCCAGTGAATTATGTTCCTGAAAATGTGCTTCTAAAAGTCATGAACAGATTCCTACTTGCGATATTTGATTCTTTCTTAGGGAAAAGACTAGAGGAAACAAGTTTTAGTCTTGTCATCACCATTTCCTACCGCCCCCCCAAATTATTCCATTGTTAGAAATATTGACCTTTTATTGGTCTTGTACTTCTAATTTATGGAATAAGGTTATTAGTAATTCAATACATATTGGCAGCTCCCATGCCAGGCACTGAAAATCCACAGATAAAATAGTTCCGGATCCCCAGGGGTTTATAATCTTAGTAAGGAGCCAGATAAGCTAAAACCATTACACTATGATGATACCTACTGTATTGGAGGTGTGTCCCAACAGCAACGGCTGCGAAGAAGTAGTGCCTAAATGTTCAAGAGACTCAAGAAAACATCGCAGAATAATAGTTTTAAAAATTAAAAATGTATTTTGTTAGGTCCTCACAGACTGATTTGCCTTTCAGATCTTTATTTAAGGCAAGATCTACATTACATCAACATAAAAGGACTCCTGATTCTACTTTTTTTCTTGCTGAATGTCCTTCCGAACCTAGTTCTACAGTTATTAAGGAGTCTAACTTAATACCTGCAGGGGAGTCATGTTTTCCTATTCAATTTCGTTTTTTTCTCTTTCTGTCTTCTAGAAAATCCTGGAAGATGGGCTTCAAAGCAGCATTATGCTAAATGAAATTATGCATGTCCAAAATGGAGTTGCAACCCTTTTTCTCTCATATACTCCAGCTCAATAATGTCACTCTCTGACTTCACTAGCAGAAAGAATGATTCATTTCCCCATTGGTTTTCTATCCTCAAATGCAATTAAGGATTTTGAAATTGTTTAAAATAATTAACAATAAACTCTCCTACTTTCCTTCCTTTGCAGGATTAGTTTTCCTCGTGAGCCATCCCTGGGAATTCATACTTAAAAGCTAGATCTTCGTTGACATTAATGAGACAAATATTAGTTTACAAGCAGCCCTTTATGTCTATTTGTTCAATCAAAAACAAATTTAATTATGGCATTGCATGCTGCAACTTAGACAATGCTCTCAAATTAGACCCTTTGCCAACTTGTGTCTCCTAGTACCTTTCTTGATCTAATTAGAATTTTTATATTAGAATACATTTTCGCATCTATTGACAGAGTAGAAAATAATGGTCAGATTTTAGGCATACTTCTATGATTTAAAACTGACCTTATTTTATATATTTATATATAGATAAGATCTAGAGAGTTTAGGTTAGGTGTATGTCATTATCACAGAAGGGTTTCTGGCCCTTGCTCCCTCCCCTTCCCTCACAGAATGGCATTCTGAATGATAACACTAAGAAAGGAGGAAACATTTTGAGCTGAGACAGATTTGTAACTTCCTGGCCAGGAATATACCAACTAGGAAGCATATGTGGTGTTTTGCTCTGTGGAAGGCATGATGGCTTAGGTATATCTTGTTGAGGGTGGAATGGTGGCATGAAGCCAAGTTCAGTTTGTTTCATGCAGGCATCAGTGGCCAAAGGGGATCTGATTTGAAGGGGGAAGAGCAGGAAGCACTAGTTCTAGATGTTCTGGGGCCGAAGATTGTAAAGCCAAGAGGTGCATTTGTGATGGGGTGAGGCATACCATGGGTCAGCCCTGGAAATAGAGCGTGCAGCAGCCAGGAGATAGTGAACTCCCCAGCCAGTTTGCTGAGGTCCGGGGCTGGGCTCTGATCCACAGAGGTTCAGGAGGGAAGTGTGATCAGGCACCAAGGACCAGCTGTGAACCTTGGTTGGTTTTGGTGAAACTAGGTAGGAATAGAGGATCCTTGGTGCTCACGTGGTGTCCAGAATTCACTTTCATCATGGGGAGCTCAGAGGAGCAGATGAGCATTATCACTAGGGGAAGAACAGGTAGGAATTAAGCTGGGGCTGGGGAAGGATAAAGGTTTCAGCTAGTTGTGAGGGAGTTCACAGCTGGAGTCCAGTCTTACTGGAAGTGGCCTGACAACTAAGAACCAGGGACTCGCAAGGGAGGCCAATGAGTCAGGATGACCACACTGGAGAGATGGCTATCAATATTTCCCAAAGTCCCATGTAACATTTCCACTTACCTCTCGTTGTCCAGAATTTAGGCACCTGCCCGCAATTAGCTTCAAAAAGTTGGGAAACAGTCTTTTAGTCCAAGTAACAGTGCTCCCAGATAAAAACTGAGATTCTGTTAAGGAAGAAGAGAATTGATATAGGGAGGCAATCACCACTTTCTACCACAATCCCCACATCCTCTGTAAGAGCATTTTCTTTTTCTTTTAAAATCTGGACTCTGCCACTTGCCAGTAGTATGACCAAGAGCAAGTTAATGAATTTATCTAAATCTCTTTTTATTTTATTTCATTTTTTTGAGTTTATCTAAATCTCAGTCTTAGTATCTACCAAATGGTCATATCACCACTTTGTTCACAGGTTTGTGAAGATGAAATAAAATTAACATATGTAGATGTTACTAAATACATGTCGGTTTCCCTTGTCATAAAGCTGGTTCTGCTTTTCTCTTGACCATTTCCCTTTACCATTTTCCTGGTATTATTTTGATTCCTTGATCAAGATTGGCCTGGGGGATCATCTTACCCAGATCTTATCCATGAAGACAAGGAAGCAGACTCATCCAATGCAATTTCTCTCAGGTCCTATACCCTCAGGGAATGCAGTTGGTACTATAATAAAACACATCACTTGAATTATTGCTATTTAACAATTATAGGTTTCATGAAAATTTTAAAGAAATTGACCAATTTGGGTCTATTTGGGTTAGAGTTTATCAAAAAGAGTTCTATTTTTTTGTTTCTGTACTAAGTGAGGTCCACAGTTTATGCTTCAATACTTGCTGCCTTACAATAAGACATTTATGGCGGTATGTTCTTCTTGTCATATGACTGTCAGCTCTTAGACCTCATTATAATTATAGACTTGTTCTTTGGCTCCAGCTCTTGTTTGCTAGGGCAATGTGAACTTCAGATTAGATATGAACTCTTTGCTAAACTCAGTGGTTGAAAAGGTCCCTTCAGAAAGGCAGTACTTGATTTTCCTCCTTTTGACCTCTTTGCATTTTCTTTCTTGTCTTGGTAACCATAGAAATAACTAGGAGAGGGGAAGTTGGTCCAGATCCATGCCTGTACTGCATGGAAGGCAATAGTTGCACTAGTGCTTTGTCAATGATGATTTGACAGAAAAGGTGAAGGGCTGAATCTTGATCAGCAGCTCTTCTGGCTTTTGAAGGAGAGTGGGAGACAGAGGGAAAGCGAAGGGCTTACTGTACCTGCCTTCTTCTCTCTGCTCTCACCATTAAATGCACTCCCAAATCCCAGGGGATTCACTTTTCCCTTATAGGTCACTGATGCCCACCCCCGTTTGAGTGGACTCATGTGTCCTTACCTCCTTCTGTTGATCTGTCTGATCTTCTTTCCTCTTTCAAGGTATATACAAGTCAGTGTGAGCTTTGGGATTACAAAATCTCTTATGAACCAGTATACCTGATCCTCATTTTCCTGCTCTGTCAAATGGTAATAAAACCTGCTTCTCAGAGTTATTTTGAGGATTAAAGAAAAAGATGTATCTACTGTACATTTCTAAGCATAAAGTAGGAATTTTGTAAATGTTGGTTTATTTCCCTACATATTAACATTTCTCCTTTGACCATGTCCATGTTCTTTTTACCTCTAAAACTTTACTTCTCAAAATGTGGCCCCAGGACCAGCAATATTGGAAATGCCAAATCTTAAGCCCCACCTCAGACCTACCCACTGAATCAGACTGCATTTTCACAACATCCTTAGATGTTTCATATACATGTTAAAGTTTGAGAAGCACTGCTGTAAAACAAAGACTCCTCTTTTTATCCTTTTTCCAAGGGGAAAAGAATAATGGGCACCCCTGGTTTCATGCCTACCCCGTGTCAGGTGTTGTTTTTTTGTTTTTGTTTTTTTTTAAAGACTTTATTTATTTGACAGAGAGAGACACAGTGAGAGAGGGAACACAAGCAGGGAGGAGTGCGAGAGGGAGAAGCAGGCTTCCCGCGGAGCAGGGAGCCTGAGGCGGGGCTCGATCCCAGGACCCTGGGATCATGACCTGAGCCGAAGGCAGACACTTAAATGACTGAGCCACCCAGGCGCCCCAAGGTGCTGGTTTTTTGAGTGCTGTTTCCCTTATCATCACTCTGTGAGGCTGGCACTGTCGTCTCCCCTGACTTGTGAGGAAAGAGATGAAGGGAAGGTAACTGCCCAGCCCAAGAGCAATGAGGAATGGACAGGCGAGACTCAAACTCACGTCTTTTTGCCCATTTTGCACTACTTCAAAACCACACAAGCCTACTGGCTGTTATTGCTGGAGGGGAAGACAAAAGTGGGGGAAAAAAGTAGAAAATGAAAACAAAACAAAACAAGAGACATGAAAATATTAAAGGTAACCTTGAGTTTGATGACAGAACTGCTTCCTTGATGACCTGTTCCAGCTGTCCTCAATTCTTTTCCAGGTTCCTTGCCCTTGATTTGATATTGACATACATTTTGGCACCTGATAAAAGCTGATAAACATCCCATAAATGTGAAGTGGGTTATTTATTTTTCAGCCTATAATGTATCAGCTGATCGCGGCATCAAACCCAGCATGTGATTGTATTCATGAGTTTTATTTTCAGATGTGTTTTTCTCTCTCAACTAGATTATGAGATTTTTAGGGTAAGACAGCCTGCCCCTTCCTTCTTTTTTCTCTGCTTCCCTTCCTCTCTCTCTTCCTTCCATGTTTCCTTCTTTCTTCCTTCCTAATGGCAAAAATATCATAGTATTTATGTTTCTGGAATGAGAGATAAAATTTAATTTCAGGTGATTTAATAGTTTTAGTTTATCTGCAATTAACAGATTATGTGTTATTATTAATGCTTCTCTTGATTTGAGCAAGGGATCCATGCTGATCAATATAATTTTAGATCAAGAGACAGTATCTTATATCTGGTCTTATGCACTAATCTCGATGTCTTAAATTTCTTATTATGTTAATAAACTCCCTAACTATGACTTCTGAAATTTAAAAAGGCATGAAAACAGTAACTAACGGAAATATTTCATTTTCCAATGTAGATTTTAATAATTACACCAATGATTCCATATGAGTCAAAATAGATAAAATATAAAAATTGACCCATGTAGAATATACCTTACATTCTTCTGTAATGTTATTAAGCAATAAGAGGTATGTTGGAAACAAAAACTGGATTTTTAATCTTTTGGAAGGATCTTTCTTAGAAGCCAATATTTTACCTTCATAACATTCTTAAATAAGTCTCTTGAAAAGCCCGTGATATATACTGTAAATACAGATTATTCCATATTTGAGCTATCATAGTTAATACACTGTATCAATTTACCAATTTTTCCATACTTTGAAGTTTAATTCACTAGACAACATTCCCCAACCAGTCAGAACTGGAATGATAACTGCTCCCAGTAATTTTTTTTAAGATTTTATTTATTTATTTGACAGAGAGAGAGCGAGCACAAGTAGGGGGAGCAGCAGGGAAAGGGAGAGGGAGAAGCAGACTCCCCTCTGAGTGGGAAGCCTGATGCGGGGCTCAGTCCCAGGACCCTGGGATCATGACCTCAGCCGAAGGCAGATGCTTAATGACTAAGCCACCCAGACACTCCTTTCAGTAATTTTTAAAAACCTCTCCATTCCACTTATTTATTTAAACTTGTTAAGATATAGTTCTGTAAGAGGGAATGGTTATCTGAAATTCTCTCTTAAAAAAAAAAGATTTTATTTATTTATTTTGAGAGAGAGAGAGAGAGAGAGAGCAGGAGCAGAGTAGGAGCAGAAGGAGAGGGAGAAGCTGACTCCCCGCTGAGCAGGGAGCCCAACACGGGACTCGATTCCAGGACCCTGAGATCATGACCTGGGCCGAAGGCAGATGTTTAACTAACTGAGCCACCCAGGCGCCCCTGAATTTATTTCTCCTGGTCACCAAAACTGTGTCTGTGAAAGTCAGGTGATGTATCCATCCATTCCAGATGCCTATCTGTTACTGGAATGAATTTTAGGTCACAAACAGCTGTGCAGGAAATATCACATTTCTTTATTTTCCCTAAACCAACCGAAATCTGACCTTGCCCACATCCTGCAGAACAGGCAGAAAATTCACTCACCGTCTTGTTTGGCTCTGGCCACAGGACTGTGCTAAGTTTCCGGGGAGATACTGACTGTCTGATCAGTGACCAGTGGCCCACCCTGGTTTCTGCTGGCATGCCTGTGTCTCATCAGCATGGTCTGAGGGCTAAGGCGCTTCTGGACCATGCCTGGGGAAGCAGAATTTGGGGGACTCTTCTGGCCCCTGTGCATAGGGTCTGTCCTCCTTAGGAGCACTATAAATCTTTCCCTCGGAGGTCTTGCTTCATCCGGTGGACTCTGCCATCAGGCTGTGCCACAGGTCTCAGGAACTCCACAGAACCCACTGACCTCTGTCCCCTGTCTAATCTCTCAGAAACTCAGCTCACGGCTCTCTTTTCTGATTTTAAAAATGCTTTTCTCTCTCTTCTTCCCCTCCAAGACATCCAGGGTTATGTCTTCTATGGACTTAGGTTTTTCAAAAGACCAGAAGAACTTCTGACTTCCTATGTACATGTTTTCAGCTTGGTAAAAATTCCCAAGGCAGGAAGTTACAAAGGACTTTCCTTCTTACTTGAAACTGAAAGAGGAGAGAACAGGAACAATGGGGAAATTATAATTTTAAAAAATTATGACACAGATCTATACCAGTCCTTCAAAGAGTTTTTACCTTGGGAATTTCATGAAGACAATAAAGGCATTTATGTTTGATTAAATCTACTCTGGAATGAAAGTTCTATATAGTTTGTTGTAAACTACATTAAAGATAAATATACAATTCTGGTGTAAATTTCCAGTGCTTCCTGAAACTGGGAAGAGCTTGTAGACCAGGTTTAGGTCTGCTCTGTGTTGCGTTGTGGAATTTTCTCTTTTACTTCAGCTCCTGGAGGCATTTCAAACTTTAGACACACACACACACACACACACGCACACACACACACATATCAGATCTTGTTTTTGTTTCATGGATTCAATATTTTATCTTGTTTCTTTGAAGGTACTAATCATAGTTTTTTTGAAATTTGTTTGTACCCTGCAGTATTCTCTAGCATAGGAAACTATGTTTAAAATATATGCATTATCCAAATAGATGATTATATTTTGGGGTTTATATTTTACATTTTATTTTAGGTCTGTATTTTAAGTGTATTAAATAAATACCAATGTATAGATTGATTTAAAGGTATTTAACCAGATAACTTAAAGGTAAAAAAATCATCTTAAAAGGATAATATGCTATTTTTCCAGAGTAAACTAATGAAAAATAATTTTATGCAAATGATGTGCTCCTCAGATGTATGATATAGAATTTTATAAATTATATTTTAAAAGTATTAGGATATGTGGGTAAAACCATTCTTGGAAACTTGTTTTGGAAAGTGAAGAGTTGATTGAGAATTTATCTCTTTATACCATAACGAGATGGTTAATAATATGGGCTTAGAAATCCCACTGCGGTGTTTGAATCCTGCCTTCACAACTTCTGTGGGATGTTGAACAAATTACTTAATCTCTCAGAACTTCCATAAAATGAGGATAATAATAGTGTCTTCTTCACAGGGTTGTTGTGGGGACAGAATGAAAAAATACATGTAAAGAAAGTACTTAGAACTCTGCCTGACGTATTCAGTACTCAGTAAATGCTAGCTATTGTTACTGTTGTTTATAGAAAGAGGTACCACTGTAAATGATTACAGTATGTAATCCATCCTACCAATTATTTATGGATAACTATTGCTTATTCTTTTGCTAAAAAGTATTGTATATGATATTTTTGACATATTTGCTTCTCATAATACTGAAACTTCAGAAAATTCACCATGTGTTATACAGTGTGATTGCCTTGAAGAGCTATTAAGTGTGATCTCAATCATCAGAGTGGAAAAGCCTTACTGTAGAATCACATGGAACTCTGCTACGAGACTCTCATGCCCATCCACCCCCTAAACACCCACAGACTCACATATCTAGCAAAAGGTACTGCTTGCCTCGATGTTTGCATGCAAGAACAAACAAGAAATCTCTGTCTCTGCAATAAAATGTTAACTTCTCCTGCCAACATAGGTATTTATTTTGGGTGGGGGAAAACATCATTTGGTAAGCAGGCATTAGAATTTTACCTTTTCCTGAAGGTACTGTATTTTAACTCAGCATTGTCAATCTTTGTGATGTATTTTCTTCCTTCTTTAATATTTGTACTAGTCACAGGGGTACCTAACTACAAATTAAGTACTGTTTGACTGACTACTACATGCCTGTGCTTTCTTTTTTTTAACTGGCAACAACCCTATATAAGCTGGATACTCATTATTCCTATTTTAGAGATGAGGCACAAAAGTTTGAGTAACTTGCATAAAGTTAATAGCTAGTGAGTGGTGGATCCAGGATTTGAACCAGACAGTTAGCTCTAGCACCAACTCATTTTTACTACTATTCCAAACTATACACTAAGATATGTATCTGTGAGTTAAATGTAACACTCTACAAAATGCCTCAATAGGGTCTGCATTTGTCATGGAGTTGATTTTAAATCAAGTAAAAAATCAGAAGTGTGACTCTGAGACTATGTTACAATGAACTTTTATAACATTTTTATAAAATATTTTATATAGCGATATACTTTATCCAGTTAACATAGATTTTGTTCTTTAAGCTCTTAAGTTGGTTCTTTAAAGGAGAAAAAAATGTTCCTTTAATGAAGTTCACTTTGTCAAGGAAGGTATTGAATGAGACTGTGAAAATAATAAAAATGGCACCTTATATTTGTCTCATGTTTTATTTTTAAAATGTTTATAGGTGTCGAATTTGCTATTACAGGAGGAGCAATTCTTTACTTTGCAAAAAAGATTCAGCATTTTCTAAGAATTACATTATCACATTCATTTAACTAATGAATTCCCTAAAGCTTTACAAATATTATCCACTCTCCTCTGGCAACAGAAAGGGGGAAAAATATGTCCCTGAGTACTGGCTTCAGGAATGTTGGGCTGATAGGGAAAAGTTTACTCTCTTGTTAATTTCAAGGAGCTTTTAAAAACAAATGGTGTGGACATTACTTAGTGATTTATATAGGAATTAGTCTTATCCTTTGCTTCATGAATCAGAACTCCATTTGGTGGAAAACTTTGTTCCAGGAAGCTGAGGCCTGATGAAAAATCTCCATGGTGCTCACTCTGATATCTCAAGCCATCTATATAGATTTGAGATGGTAAAAACATCTCTTTATTTGATGCTTGAGTTCCCTTTACAATTATCCTTGGCAGAGGTCTGTACTGCTCTCCTGTCCTTAGTAGTAAAATGAGTTGGTGCTAGAGCTAACTGTCTGGCTCAAATCCTGGATCCACCACTCACTAGCTATTAACTTTATGCAAAAGACAGGAGAGCAGTACAGACTTTGTAGAATAGCCCTACAAACACGTGGGTGCTCATTACTTCTCAAGGCAGCCCCTAAATCCTTCCTCTGTTCTTTACTTTCTCCCTTTTCCCCTCACTTCCTCCCTCTTTCTTTTTTACCAGCGCCTGTAACATCCACCCATTAGTTTTTTATCCTTCCTTTGGGGCCACACAAAACAAATCCACCCCCTCCTCAGACTGATAGTCTTACAACTAACTAGAGGCAATTATTACCTTTATTCACATCCCTCCACCCAAGATTAAAGAATCACTTTATATTAAAGTGGACAGATTTCAAGCTTTCTTCAGAAATGGGAAGGTCATCCTCCTCCACCAAGCACGCAGCTTCGGTGGGGGAGGCGGGGGATGCACATGGAGCATGAGAGAGGAAGGGGACACCTGCCTAGCCAGCTGGATCAGCTGAATCAACCCTGGCGATCAGTGAGGTGACAGATGTCCAGCCAGATCACCTTTACATTGTGTTTCTAATCCTTACAACCTTGTCAGGTGAGTTAATGATAGCTAATACTTACACAGCCTTTACCATCAACTCACCTAGATATGGTGGACCCAAGTAAAGCCCTTATAATAGTGGTTGACACATAGTAACAGTCAATGTTACCTGTTTTTATCTTCTTGTACTTGTGCAAGCTTCTGGAGAATTTTTGACTTGACTACAGTATTCTACATTTCTCTTTTTTCCTTTTTTTTTTCTTCTGCATTTTAAACCTGAAAGAATTAAAGAGGAAACATTAGGCTCCTTTTATAAGTTCACTATTTCTCCTGGCTTTGTATTAACCACATATTTTGATCCTTAAAGTCATTCAAAAGGATGATCAAGGATCAAGGAGGAAAGCCTGCAGTTTTCAAAAACTTCAGGTTATTCCAGGCCAGGCTTTCCTTTGCACAGTTCTTTGAGGTCTGTTTCTTCTGTGGAAGAAGCCCTATCCCACATAAGGAGAATGGCACCTAAAAGTTGAGTTTCATCTCTAATAGGAGACCACGAAAAACGCAGCTCTAGTTTGCTTTTCATGTATTAAAATTCATTTTGGAAAAAAACAACACACTTTTTTTTCAGCTTAGTGAAAGGGAAGGGGAGTTGATGCCCTTGGTGATCAAGTGTGGGGTGGCTGGTGTCACTTGCCAGTGCAGCCCGAGAACTGGTTTATGGAGGCATAGGATACTATATTTTAACACAGCATTACCCTTTTGCCCCTATAAGCAACAGCTCAGATATTCTGGCCAAGCTCCTTGGGCTTACACTTCTTTGAACTAGTCTAGGTGGTTAGACAAACCTTGGCAGTGGGATACTTGTAGTTGTTGATCTGGAATTCTCCCCTTTGGGAAAGGAGGTGCTCTGCAATGAAGAGTGCCTGGTCAGATTTAGGGGGTATGAGAAGAAACCTGTTGGAAGGACACCTGGGTGCTATACCCCCTCACCCCCTGCAGTCCCAGGTGGAGCTGGAAGCTTTTCTTATCCTGAATATGACTGGATCAGTGTCCCAACTCCTGTTTTTCTCTTTGGCTTTTCTACCTTATAACTTCAGCCTGACGTAGTGTGGGTTAAGCTGCCTTCCAAAGCACACAAGTTTATCCCTATTCACAAAATGTCAGAGCCAGAAGCAGAGCTGGAAATATATTTAGTGAAGATTTTAGTAAGATATATTTAGATGGCTCACTGTCACCTCCACGGGTAAAGTAGGAATAGGAAATAAAATAGGAAACATATTCCTATTAACCTCTGTGCTGACTGACACCCAGAACTCTCCACCTGGAAGTACAGGGCCAGATTCTTACCACGAGATGCGTGTGTTCCACAGAGTACCATAGGCAGTGTGTTATGGAGGTGCAACGAGTGTTAAAATATAAAGAGCCAGAAGCTAGTCTGTGGAAAAAATTTGCCAAATGTTATACATCATAAATAGAAAAATATTTGATGATAGGGCTTTCCACAAATTTAACAGCATCTGAAATATTTACATGACATTACTGAAGATGAGCTGCAAAGCTGAAATAAGTGTTGCAATGTATCAGTGATAAAAGGCAAAAAGCCTCAGCAAGCCTAGAGGAAATACTGAATTGTCATTCTATTTTTTAGTAGGAAATATTACAAAACAATTGTCAAATGAAGAGCTGATTGAAGAGTACACAGCCAAAAATGTACCACACAAGTATTATAGAGAGGTGCCAGGCAGTTAATTAATTAACATATTGTTGCTTTTCGGATCTTGTGATTTTGTGACATGTCAACTTTTCAAAATTTGTGATTAGTTGTAATTTATCTTCTCATTCTAAATAAATATTTATATCCACAGCTGTTTTTTCCATCTTTACCAATCTTTTGGTTAAGTGTCCACATTCTGACGATAGACACAGTCTCCTACTTCTGATTTTTGAGTGATACTCTGTTTGGTCAGGCTTGTAGTCAGTAAGTGTTAGTTGAGTGGATAAAATAATAAATCACTGCAATCTGGATGGTTAGGTGGATCAAAAAAGGGTGGACTAACCTTGGGTAGAATTTGAAGAGATGATGGGGTAGTGGCATTAGTAGAAATGTAGAGATAGGAAGACTATGGCGATATCAGAGGATAACAAATACTTAAGATTGGTTCAAAAAAGTTTAGGGTACCTGGGTGGCTCAGTCGGTTAAGTGTCTGCCTTCAGCTCAGGTCATGATCCCAGGGTCCTGGGATCGAGTCCTGCATTGGGCTCCTTGCTTAGCGGGGAGCCTGCTTCTCCCTCTCCTTTTGCCTCTCCCCCTGCTTGTGCTCTCTCTCTCTGTCAAATAAATAAATAAGAATCTCTTTAAAAAATTGTAACTATGTGAGGTAATGGATATGTTAACTAACCTTATTGTGGTAATCATTTTGCAATATATACCTGTATAAAATCACTGTGTTGTATACCTCAAATTTACACAGTGTTATATGTCAATTATATCTCAATAAAGCTGGAAAAAAAGACTGGCTCAAGGAAAAGGCTTGTGTTGAATAAGGGGTGAAAAAATAGGAAAGGAAGTTTTAAGCCACATTATGGGACAAGAATCTAGAATGTCGGATTAAGGGAATTTTACTTTATTATATAGTCATGAGAGTGTATTGGACAACTTCTGCCTTTGCCCACCGAAAACCCATTGCCTCATCTTGCAGTAGCACCCTTATTTGTCTTTCTTTCTTTTCTTTTCTTTTTCTTTAAGAGAGAGAGTGCGGAGGAGCAGAGGGAAAGGGAGAGAGAGAATTCCAAGCAGGCTCCATGCCCAGCACAGAGCCTGACACAGGGCTCCATCTCATGACCCTGAGATCATGACCTGAGATGAAACCAGGAGTCGGACACTCAACCAACTGAGCCACTCAAGCAGCCATTAGCACCCTTATTTTCTACAGGAACCATGCTTTTCCCACTCTGAATCTATGTAGGTTGGGTGGCTTCACATCACCCGGGGCTCTAAGGTTGCAGTCAGTGTTAGGACTTCTGTTGGAGAATTAAGAAAGCGTACTCCCTTTCTGCTAATGATGCTACATATCTTCAGTAGAAGCCTGCAGGAGGTGGTGGCTATTTTGTCACACTTAGGGAGAGTGTGCTCAAGAGTGCAGTGAACCCATAGCCAAGAGATGAAGGTAGAAAGATTCCTAATGACAATGCTTGCATACCTGGGTTCAATCGTGCTTGAAAGTAGAGACCCTTGGCCTTTTTGGTTAGATGTGCACCAGTACATTTCTTTTGTCAGTTTGAACTGGGTTTGTTACTTGCAACTGAAAGGCAACAAATGTTTGTGAACAGGGTATGAAGATTTGTCTAGTAGCAGATGGGGTACAGAAGTCAAAGATGCTGGCAGTGGAAGTAGAAAGGAAAGGAAAGAGGAGTATGGAGGAATAATTAAGAGGGCTTGGTACCTAGAACCGGAAGATGGAGCAAAAATGACTGGAAATTTGAGATGCAGTGACAGAAATTTGTGAGTCAGAAAGAAAACCATAGTCCCTTAACTCCCTCAGAGGTAAATACATTTATTCCTAGGCTTTGAGTTGGAGCTGATGATAGGAAAATCCAGTGGAAATATTTAGGAGGTAGTTAAAAGGTAGAATTAAATTAAGCCTCAGGAGAAAACTCAGGATCCAAGATCTAAGAAGTAAATGGGCTGCCCAAATGTAACCATGTGATAAGCTGCAGGGGGAGGTAAGTCTGAAACAGTAAAATGAGCAATGGGCTGATGGACAGCGATGCCAAAGGGAACAGGGCCAGGAAGGAATCAGGCCTTTTGTGCCCTGCCAGATATCTAGTCTCCCCTGCGAGAGTTCAGGAAGTGAAGTTTGTGAAACGGGGACATGCCGCTTGGATAGGCACAGGTACTAATTTTTACAAGTGCCCTGCAAGGCTAGAATTGAGCAGTTGAAGACCTGAGGGTGTGGGTGAGATTTCTGCAGGCGTGGTTCAAGGGATGAAAGTGGTGAAGAACAAGGAAAATAGAGACAGGAGGACTGATTAGAAAACTGTTTTGGGATGCAAAGAGAACCTCCGCAAAAGGGGATAGTGAGCAGTGGAGAATGGCAGAGACGAGGTGAACATCACTGGAGAATGCAGATTCACAAGAGCTCTGGAGGCGGAACTAGATTAAAGTGAGTGGATGATACAAAAGTGGGGGCAGTGGCTGGAGACCAGAAGACTGGCAGGGAAAAGAAGGTCAGGAGCAGGGTAGTTTACTAATGGAGGAGCTTAGCCAAGGTTTTTTGTTTGCTTTGTTTTATGACTAGGACAGAGGAGGCTTGTTTCAGAGGATAGACAGAAGAGAAGGGCCAGTGAATTTGAAGGGAGTGAAGATGTTAGAGAGAAAGAGGGTTCAATTGAAGGAGGGAGGTAAGATCAACAGTGGCAAAGAGAGCAGATAGGAAAGGAAGCAATACATCCCCTGTCTGAGACTGGGGGAGAGGATGAAAGAAAAGGTGTAAAGAGAGATGCTTGCAGGCAGAATGAGAGGAGATGAGGCATCTATCATGTGTTTCCAGGATCGATAAGACAGTAACATGAGGTGTCTACTGCATTCAACAGGGGCTGTGAATCAAGTTACAGACAGGATGTCCAAATTGCTTCTCTCCCCATGAGACTTCACAGAAGATTATGTTACTGTAAACTGCTGTTTAAGCTAGGAAAAAAAAGGATACACAGTCTGCCACATACCTTAGCTTTTAGCTTTCAGTGAAAATGGGGCAATTGTCTGTCTTGTCATGACAAGAGGTAGATAATGCAATCTCATCATGACATGATACATACCATTTGTCATCACTTATATGAAGTAAAAGTACAGATGTAATTGGAGGTGCCATACATTTCACAACTGTGTGCTGTGGAATATCTCCTTTCTCTGGGAGGATCCCAGAGAAGCCAGTTTTCGAGTTTGGTGGCTGTGGCTTACTTTGGTGAGTAATAATCCTTGACAATAAGAAGAAAGACCTGCTATGAATCAGAGGCAGAGCCAGGAAGTAGTCTATCCTTGATTCTTACTATCAGATCAAACTACCCAACACCAGAAGAACTGGTGAAACCTGCTGGGCAGGAACCAGTCATTGTGTCTTCTCTGATAAAAGTTGCTGCATTCCCCCTCCCACCCCCCACCATCTCCCTTTGACAAAATCAGGCTACTCTTTAAGGCATTGCCCTTTGCCCTGAAAAGGTAGCTTGTGCCAATCATGTGATGGTGGTGATAA